CCTCCAGGGATGGTTACTCCACCACCTCCCTGGGGAGCCCATTCCAATGCTTAACGACTCTAACAGTGAAGAAATTCTTCCTAATATCCAACCTGAACCTCCCCTGGCGCAACTTGAGACCTTTTTCTCTTGTCCTATCGCTAATTACTTGGGAGAAGAGACCAACCCCCACCTCGCTACAGCCTCCTTTCAGGTAGTTGTAGAGGGTGATAAGGTCTCCCCAGAGCCTCCTCTCCTCCAGACTAAACAACCCCAGCTCCCTCAGCTGCTCCTCATAAGATTTGTTCTCCAGGCCCTTCACCAGCTTCGTTGCTCTTCAGAAAGTTGATGCTGGGAAAGAATGATCTGTGAAAGCCAATGACACAGGATGCCAAAAAGACTTTGAAAAACTCAGAGGAAGAAGGCAAAACTACTAATAAACCCACTCTCCTTCTGAACAACGTAGAGATCCTAGCTGGAGACTCAGACCCATCTTCATAAATTTTTTTTAGAGTGTACGTGAGACTACGTAATTTAGATGCCACCAGCACACATCCTTCCAAGAATTCTAGCACTGCTAATTTTCTACAGTCTCAACTTTTTAAATACAACAAAAGGCCATTTTATGGACCATAATTGTTTATATTTGTATTTATAGCTTATTTATTATGCAAATCAAACATGCTAATTTCATGTGCTGTGCTACCCATGTTCTAATGTGGAATGATACGCTCCAGTAAGAAGCCCTACGTGCTGTATTGTCTACTGAACTCCTGGTTTTAATTAACAAATTTACCATAATAAATATAAAATATACCCTTTTCTAAATATAAGCTTCCAGATACCTTCTGCAACAGAAGATTCCCAAAGTTTTCAAAGAGTAAACAGCCTCTCATGAGAGCAGCAGAATCAAGAAACACTCCTGTTGACATAGAATCATACGAGCCAGTTTCTTTCTCACATTTGTTAATCATATAAAAGGCACTTCGCAAAAACAGCTTACTACACTAAAAAGAAATACTGGCAAAATAATTAATTTCTACCTGTCTTGCATTTTAGCAACTAGAAACAAGACGTAACTAGCAGCATGTAACCAACCAATTCTCCACAGATTACCAGCAAAACCTACACATTTTAAGTATTCTGATCTACGTAGCCTGTTCTTTATTTCTGAACATAATAGATGTAAAAGAAAGAAGAAAAGATACACAAAGCTGAACAATGGGATAATAAGCCTGCGATTAACTAGGCAACTTAAAAACGAACCCATGGGAGGAGAGCATTATGTCATCCTAAATATGTTGATCTAAATAGTCAATTCTTTTTAACATTAAGTATTCTATTTATACCACTTCACAGATATGGCTTAAGGCTTTTTATTCAGCTTTAGTGGCTCTTCATTTTGTGTTGAAATGAATGAGACGTTTCTGAAATATTTATTTTGTAATTATTTCTACAGGTACGTGAAGCTACAGCTTTTATGCAGGATATTTTCTTACAACATGCAACAGAGATGACCGCTATACTGTATCAGTTGAAACCAAAATAATAAGATACCTTCCAGTTGTGCGGCTCAATGTCAAACACAATACAAATTCAAGAGGCAGACTGTTCCCCAGGTAGTAAAAAGGTGTAGATAGCTTAACAAGTGACTAATGCAAGCATCTATTCTTAATTTGGTGTGAAACTCACTCGTGAAATCAAATCAACAGATTTTGCATTTACTGTAGTTGTGACAGAAGTCAATGGCCTTAAAACGTTTTCACCTCTCAGAAGTTGTTAAGGTTTAGGCAAAAATGTCTGTTTAAGCAAATTCTTTACGTCATAATAACTAACCCAAATCTGTTACTCTAAAACACACACACAAGTCTTCAGTAATTTGAAGAGCTGCCTACCAGCAAGAAATTCACACCCTTGACACAGAAGCACCACATCAGGCATAGTAGTTCTAAAGAAAATTCAGACCTAGGCATGCCCAAAAGAAAAAACAAGACAGCCCTGTCCTTCAACTGCGAAGACTCACAGTCCTGGATTTGGCCATGTGAGGCGTCAGAGGACTGACTTTATAGAAGGAGCTGAATTATAAACTTGAAGTGTAGACAGAAAGGAAGGAAGATCAGACCCTTGAATACTCAGGATACATCATCACAAGTAAATCAAGCACTGAATTCACATTCCTATTTTAGCCATCAATTGTTCTTTTTTTGTAAATTACACTTTCCTTGCAATTTCGTAGTGATTCAAATGCAAAATTTGTGCTTGTTAGTAACTAAATATATGATAGCCTGGGCTTAAAGGCTAGTACTATGATAAATAATTTTGTGGGTTTAGATTTTTTTTGTGTGTTGTTGGACACTGTTTTACATTTTATATAGAATATTTACCTTGTCCTTCTAGTTCTAGACTAAGTACACCACTAGTCCCAGTATAACATAGACCACTTAAAAACATAAAACAAAGCTTCACTTCAATAACACAACTCTATCACTTGCACCATTAACATAACAGGAACTGGAGAGAAACAGGTTTAGCAATATATTCCTGATTTTTTATTTTAAATCAACATGTTGATGCTTGAATGATTAATGAGAAAGTGGCATCCTGTTTCCATAGTGGATGCAATTTTGAACACCTTTCAGGATAGCATTAGACCAACTTTAACTGCTTTTAAAAACTGTCCTCCATTTCTCAGACTTATGTACACTACAAAAAAGACTTCTGTAACACACAAAACAGTCACCTTACCAATGTTCTTCCCCTTTTATGTACCATAAAAGACAACTGTTGTGATTTTCTATACTATCTCAAAAATCAATTAAAAAAGATGGCAAAAGCATTACACTTGATATATACCAGTCATACAGTACTACAGAATGGCCTTTGTGAGATGAAAGGGTTAATTACTGGTTTTAATTACATCCAAGTAACTTTAATGAGAGTGAATACTGGAGCAACTCCATAAACACAATGACCACATTAGCAGAACACCAGTTATGAAACCCCTGCCAATGCTGCTTGTACAGGGTTTTTCGTTTTTTTGGTTTTGTGTTTTGTTTTTGTTTTTTTTTTTAATCAAGATATAAAAAAATCTTACCAAGTTCTGCTGTTTGTGGTATTTGCAGAGCCCTACAAAAAATCTGTAAGACTAGGCAGCTTTAAAGAATGTAACATGCAGTAGTAACCATGACGATAATAAAAATGCTTTTGCTAATCTTTTTCTTTCAGATGCCAATACTTCTAAATACTGGCATTTTTCCACTGTATTACAACTTTTGTTTGTCGCTCCCTGTGAATCTAAGCCACCATTCCTTGTAAACTTGAAACTTCTGACAAAGTGAACAGCAATTTGGGGGGCACTAGTAATGCAGAATGAGTCCTAACCAGTGCACCAGCATCTTAAGTGACTGTGGTAGGATGGACGTCACTTGTTGGCAACTATGTCTTATTTCATTGTTGCACAGAATAGGTAGGAAAAAAATTATTACATTTTTAAGATAATTACTTTGCAAGTAAATGGGGAATTGAAAAAATAAGAGAAAGATAGAGCGTATATAGGATATTTCTAAGGAGATCATAAAAATGCTGAAGTAGGTTAGAATTTGGCCCTCAGTATGCCGACCATAAACTTTAAGGAAAAAAAAAAAAAAAAAAAATCAATGCAGAGGAGTTCCAAGCTGTTTTCTTGGTTTTGTATTAAGTTTGAGGTTTTAAGCAACAAAAAATAAAATAAATAAAGATTCTTCAGAATTTAATCTTTGTTCTCTACTATTTCTCCAACAGACTTGCTCAACAAACTAGGATAATGCTTTCAAAAGATGTATGCGATTTGGATCTGAAGTCACACTTTGAAAAGTGACTAAAGGGCTGATTTTCAAAGGCATTAAGATACCTAAAGACGCATTAAGCACTTAGAATTTTTAAAACTGTCTGGGCATCTAACGCCTATTTAAATCACTTAGTCCTTTCTGAAAATCCCAATGGGCAGTTATCTACATTTTATGTGTCTATATGCCTTTGAAAATCTGTACCATTAAATACTTAACAACCTAAGTCCCTCTGGCTTTTAATGAGACTTAGGGTCCTAAAAAGTGTAAGTACTTCTGAAAATTGGTCAAGCCACTCTCTTTGGTCTTTTCTTCTTTCTTTTAAACAGCCATCTACTAATGCTTATCCATAGCACCTCAGTTAACTACAGCTTCAACACTATCAGACTTACACATTATACTGTGCACATTCAATTTTTTTATGTAACTAAACAAAGGCCCTGAGTACAGACTGCATCCTCATAAGGCTTTCTGAAACTCCAAAAAAGAAAATTAATCCTAACTCTTAACCCCTGTGAGTGCCCCAAAATCACTGTTTCACTAAATATGATCCAAAATTAGTGTAATTTAGGCTGATAAAAACCAAACAGCATAGTTTAATTATCAAGCAACATATTCAAATTACTACAAACAAATTCTGAAAGACAGCCACATAGCAACAAATAATGTTCAGAGAAAAATGAGAAAGAGAAAGAAGTTGTGAATAGGCTCTTTAAATAGGCAGCAGTTCCATAAAAGAAGACAAGCCTTGATTCTGAAATTTCTTTTTAAAACAAGAATGTATGAAACTATGAAGAATTCCCTTATGCAAACATTTGAAAGATTTATCTTCTGATCTTCTTTAATGTCAGTGGGAGGTAACTTGCACTGACCACATTCCCAAAAAGGAACTGATTTGTAAATTAGGAACGCAGGGAATCAGATTGCCACCTGCAGGAAAATTCAGCATGTATTGTCAAGAATGACTCAAAAAGAACACAAATTGCCATCCTGGCAAGCACTCTTTCAGTTTTAGTTATTATGTCAAAACCAATTAGTATTTTCTTTTGTGCAACTATTTCATGAACTTCCTAAATCCAGAAAGCTATTAACATTTCTTTTTATTTAAGAGAGAGTACTGCTTGCAAGTTCCATAATTCAACTACAAAGCAGCAGATTGTAATCATATTTCAGTTAAAGAATTTTAAGTCTGCTTACCTGATACAATTGGTGCTAGCCTGAATATGTCTGATAGTCTACTGTTAACTGGCTCATAAGGGGAATCTTCAAGCAAGTCATTTCCTAAAGACAAAAAAAATATTTGGATTTTTTTTTCTTATACAAGAACTCAGGATAAGATTTCGTTGTTTATGCTAACTCTGAGACAAAGTTACTCTGTAGCAGCAAAAGGTACTCCCGTTTAATTTGTTTATGTGGCTATTTCTCCTCAAAGTATTACTTATAAAAACACCTGAAAGCAACTAGGTTTTTTTATCCCTGTCACTAGTTCTTTTCTCTCCTTCCTCCATGAATAAGGTCATAATTTGCAGAGACAGCCTGTGACATCACAGGGACTCTCCCATCTCATGCCAGCAGGAGAGAAGCTGTAGCAAGGATGTTCCTCTTCATTCACCCTAACAGCAGAGCTCTATTTCAGAGGAGCAGCCCAGGTAATAGCTAAAACTAGCATATTTGGAATAAAAGAGTCCTAACAAGATGCTGTTGGAAGGGAAACTTTTTATGATGCAGAAAACATCAGAGTAGTGTAATTCATTATGAAAGTTAGAACGAAAACATATATATTGATTCATTAAAACCTTCCATTTGATGCCTGGATAAATGAACAGAGAGGGATGACTTCCCTTTTTTGCAGAAGCAGCTACAGAAACGAGGTAAATGGAGACCACACTGAGGTAACAGATTGCATCTTCAACTCCAGGGCCAGAGCAAAACAGGGCTAAAAATGATATATCTCATGTAAGGACCTGACTGCTCTCAGCTATGGGAAATTTGCCAGTGACATCAAGAACAGAAGTCCCGAGTCAATCACTGTCATATCCCTTCTAACTGGCACTTCTACATGCTCTAGGAAGCACAAACTTCTTTTTTTCTGTCTCAGCATGCCCAGGGAATATTGCTAGTAAATACAGGAAAGGGCAGAATAAACCTTTACTTAAAACAATACTCCTCTTCATATTACATTTAACTTTCAGCAAAGAGCTAAGAAACCACTTCCAGTGCCCTGTGATCTTGTTAGGTGAGTCCTAATTAAGGAGTTTAAATATTATTAGGAAAATGTCTCCAAATTATTGTTTTTGTAGCTCCTGCACTTGCTAGTGCCCTTATCTTTTGACTCTGGTTTAGAAAGGTCAGCTGGGTCCCCTGGAGAAAACCCTCATTGTGGATTTCCCAACAACAGGAGACAGAGCAGCAGCTGTTCTTGAGTCAGATGAAAGGTCCTCAGCTTGCAGCTGAAGAGCACAACGTGAATTATGGGGTCAGACCCTTAGTTTAGCCTCAGTGGCAATAGCTAGCTGCAGATGTGAGGGGCTGCAAAACACCACACACTGCATTAGGGGAGTGTAATGTTTCTGTGTTTTGCAACGTACCCTGTAAGCTCTGGTACATGCTCCAGTAAATGCGCAGGCAGTTTTTCTCCTTCTTCATGCCCCTCTTACAGCGGCAGTTGTACAGAGATTTCTGCTTCAGAGCTTCCATGGCGCTTTTGCATTCGTCCTTTGCCTCCAGGCCTGTCGCCCGGCTGAAGTTGCTCTCTTTGCCGGCTACACACTGCCTCAGTGTCCTGTATTTAGTACTACAGCTTTGCTCCTTGAGACACTGATCGCTGGCTTTCACACAGTCAAGGCGGTCCCCTCCAGGCAGTCCGCTCACTTCTGCGGACAAAAGTACATCTAGAGAGAGGAGAGACAAACCAACAAACTCTGGTTGAGGGACAAGGCCGATCTAACCAGGGCTCCAAAGCAGGCATCTGGGAAGCACAAGGCACCTCCTCAGGCAGCACAGCCAGCCAGCCCGATGGGCAGCACCTGGGAAGCCTCCGGACTTCATGCTATACCTTAGGAAAAAGCACATGGGGTTTTCATAGTCTTAGATCCACTTTTGTGGGAGTCCAAGGAAACAGTATTTTTTAACCCTGATGGTTGATTTATGAGAAAACACAAAAAGGAAAGAAAACCCACAGGGGTTAATGTGCCTGACAAGCAAGCAGTCATTATTCCTTAGATCCACTTTGGTGCAAAAACCAAGCTTTCCATTCGAGTGTTTAACTGAGGGGTTAACTGTTCGGCCTCACTTTCCACAAGAGCTTTGCTGTAATTTCAATTACATCCACGAACAACCCGCTCAGAGAGATAAATATCCTCGCTGATGGATACTAGCCTCTTTTTGCGTCACTCACTTTTTAAAGGCTGTACACATTTTTGCTTATTCTACATGTATAAAGGTAGAATTTATTACCCCCCCACTCCATTTCTCTCCACATACGGATGCTTTTGCAAGAGAACAAAGCAAATTACATTAACTCTCTCCTCTCCATCGTGCCCCCTGTCATGCTCCCTCAGACACACGCAGATGGAAATGCAAACATCTCCTGTGGAAAGGAAACCAGTTTGGGCTGCAAACCACTCGCAGTCAGGCAGGCTGCCAGGTTCAGGTGAAGATGTAATCCTTCATCTGGCTCTTGTTTTTTTTTTTCCCCCCCCCCCCCCCGCCTCCCGAAGCAGCCTTGTTTTACTAAAATGAAAAGTTTCCCTGTAACTTGCAAGAACCCAATTTAACAAGAGGCTACACAGACAAGTATCTAGGTCTCCCAGAGCTTTAAATGTAGACTGGGCTAACTGATGTGAGGCAGAGCTGTAAAAACTACTGGAAACTTCACTGTTCTGCCTAAACAATAGTCTGACAACCGTCAGGCATCCGATCCCATAAACCCTATGCTTTGCTTTATGAAGCGATGTACAGACAGAAATCAGATGCCAGCAACTTACCCACTAAGGGCACAGCGAAGTACAAGATAACGAGAAACATCTTGCTGTCTTCGGATGGTTTCCCCAAACGAGCTGATGTGCCACAACAAAGAGGATCAGCATGTAGATATTCCAAAACCGCCGAGGTCCAAAGACCCCAAGTTCAGATCCATTGAATTCAAGGGGAAAAAAAAAAAACTGACAACAACAAAAAAACAAAACCAAAAAAACCCCAACCAAACACACCCTCTCTCCTCTTCACTGCTACCACCACCAGCGGCAGAAGCAGCGACGCAAACGCTGAGCTTTTTCCCTTAGATTTCAGGTCTGAGCAACCTGAAAAGAGAACCACTGACTTCAGTGCGGGAGCGAGAGACGCACGCACGGGTATATGTGTGTGCGAGCCAGCAAGCGGGAGCG